TTCTCGCGATTTCGTGTTTTTGTGGTCATATTTGACAAATCGAGATTGCGAGATTTGACAGCATGTACAAATGTCGCATTCTCGCGTTGTCGACTTTTGACAAAAAGTGCTATGTACCAAAAACACGAGAACTTTAATCCACTCGTGTTGACACATTTGATATTAGAAGACACTTGAATGAGATTTTCTCTAAATAACATAACTGCAAAGTTATCTCCACAATCATTCCATGTAGATATGTTTTAAGCAATTCCATATATTTTACACTCAACAGATTGTACTTATGTACAATGATAAATACAATTCATGCACATGTACTGTAAGATTAAAGTATACCTTCACCATCAGACAACAATAAAATCAGAAATAAAATTACAACACTGTGCAATGCAGATATCTATTGCTGTAAAGGGAAACGTGATTTGTATTACTGAGTTGTTTGAGTGCGAATATGAAAAATCAGTTTACACCAAGAAAACGTAAAAACCTAGGACTAAAAATTGAATGTGAGATTTGTCATGACGATTACAATCATGTCATCATTGTGAGGGAAAACTGTATGTAGATACTGCAAGACAATAAAATGTAATCCATTTGATGTTTACAAAACTTAACAAAGTCATTATACAGATTGAAATTTAGTATGAATGTATTGTTTTTACTTGATATGATAGAACGGAAGTTGACAAGTACCCTTGAATAAAGTTCCTGAAGGGCGCTAAAGTTGGACGAACATGAATACATAACACGTTTTATGGATATCAACTTCTGTCTATTCTTTATCACGACGTTTCCGAGCTAATTCTTGCTCCTTCATCAGGTGAGCACGAATTAGCTCTGAAACATGGTGATAAAGCATAAAAAGAAATCGTTATCAATAAAACGTTTCACGTGTTCATTCCCTTTAATATCTTCTGTGTCTGAAAAAATATAATTTCCTTATATTCAAAATGTGTAACATGAAATCTCAATACATATCCATCATTTATCAGATATGAAATGCAACCAGTATAGAAATGTGCCTGACATATCAACCATTCACCCATACAATCAACACCCCGCACCATAAACTGTTACAGATACTAAAGACTATCTCAATGATTTCTACTCTATTTGCACCCTTGAATGTCCGGGTTAGAATGTACCTTCAGTAACCCATGCTTGTCGTAAGAGGCGACTAACGGGATCGGGTGGTCAGGCTCGCTGACTTGGTTAACACATGTAATCGGTTCCCAATTGCGCAGATCGATGCTCATGCTGTTGATCACTGGATTGTCTGGTCCAGACTCGATTATTTACAGACCGCCGCCATATAGCTGGAATATTGCTGAGTGCGGCGTAAAACTAAACTCACTCACTCACTCACTCACTTTACTCTATTTGCAAACCGTATTTGATCATGATGGTTGGTGATTATTGACATAATTCGTCCGTGACTGTATTTTTATAATTTCTTGAAAGTTGTTTCTCACTTCTCTCAGCTATATACCTGCTAAATATTTGTGATGTTGTCACACTTCCCAATATGTACGGGCCAACGAAATTCACAGGTTGCATTCAAGATCTTCACATTTCGCGTGCCGTATTAGCTACCCACCTACGGAATTACATGTACATAGCCTAATCGGCGATGATACGACAGAAATTTGAGTATGTATGCGATACAAATACGCTCCAGGTCGGAGTGTGATATTCAACCATCTGTTCCAAAACTTAAACACAGACGGCATAATGTCAACAGAACGACAAAACACGGCCTGAAATGAACGATAAGCTGACTGAACGGCCATCATGTGATTCATTATTGCAATATGAACACTCATGGTCATCCTTGAAGTAGCAAGGAATATTTCAGGTCATAATATATAATCATTTAAGGGTCAAGATGTTGTGTCCATACACCAAAGTGAACGTTTCCCATAAAGGTAAAGCCTATACTGGTTAACGGTCTCTAAGTGTAGCAATAGCCCATACAGCTCGCATCGCACATAAGACCTGCTTGTTAATTTAAAGGTGGCCCGTCTGGATTAGCGCAAAAGCGGGTTACAGAATGGACAATAATTTCAGAAAGATTGCCCATTAACAATTGTATTCTAAATTAACTACGTTTACAAATAAATACAAATTACAACATTGAGTGAGTATAGTTTTACGCCGCGTTTAGCAATCTTCCAGCAATATCACGGCAGGGGACATCAGATATTGTCCTCACACATTGTACCCATATGGGGAATCAAACCCAGGTTTTCGGCGTGACGAGCGAATGCTTGAACCACTAGGCTACCCCATCGCCCCACAAATAACAACAGAATTATTGCAGTGGCAGTCCAAAAATAAACAGTAGCAAAATACATTCAAATGCAGTATAATCCAAAATCGGTGACGATAACATTAAAGGCAGTGATGCCAAAAGTCACCCTACTGCAACAATGGTCAAGTTTCCAAAACAGTATTCCAGTGTTAGAATAATACTTAGGCTGGCCATCTTGTAAAATGGGATGAGAAGCAAGTATTAGCTCCCTTATTATACCTCAGTTAAAAACTGCAGAAGAATCGCTAACTTCCTGGGTCAGAATATAGAGGATATATTTGTGGTCTTCTACAGTTGCAGTTACACCCTGAATGCCACTGCCATCCCCACCTCTCTCCAAAAAACCAACAAAAAACAAAAGAAAAGAAAACAACAACAACAAAAACCCAACAAAACAAACAAAAATAAACAACCAAAACAAAAAACAACAAACAAGCAAACCATACAAACAAAAACAAAACAAGAAACAAAAACCCCCCAAAAAAGACAAGCAAAACAAAACAACAAAAAACAACCAAAAAACCCCAACAAAACAATCAACAACAAAATAAGCAAAAATAAACAACCAAAAAACCAACAAACAAGAAACCAAAACACCCCCCAAAACATTTTTTGGGTAAACTGCACTTTACGGGTCCCCGGAAGTTTCGCTACAGACATGCGCAGAAGCCATATTTACATCGAAGCGAGCACTAACGCTGACGCCATTTTTTGTTTGCTCCAGCGAATAACAAAATCGCTGTTTAGGCCTTGTTTTGGCCCATAAAATTACCCTTGGATAGTAATCGATAATCTTCTCTAGCCCTTCGTTCCTCAACAATGTTTTAGGGTTTGTATTTTTTTCTGGGTTTGTCAATTGCAATGTTTATTCATATTTTAAGAAGACGCTGACGTAAAAATACCCCACTAATGTATTGTTTCGTTGAAATGAAACATTTTAGCCCTTAGATGCTTCATTGTATCCTTCTTTTTCCATTTTCATTTACAATAAACAAAACAGGTAAGTTTACATGATATGTAGCACAGCAAGAAAACAAATATCGAAACGCTTCACTTACCTTACATTACAAGAACAAATCTGCCCCTGAATTGACTTACCTTACAAGAACAAATCTGCACTTGAATTAAATTCATCTGTGCTTTCATTTTGCATGGCATTTTCTTTATTTTCATTTTCAACCATTTTAAAATATTCATGGTTTTTGGGGGTCAAATACACGGCGGATAAAAGTAAGAAATGTAACGAAAGGATCATCAGAACAACGTAAATATTTCTTCCTCACAATGTATTCCACAAAATAACTATCATACAATCCTTTCGTAGTTCCATACCTGGGCAGGGACGCTTTCACCGCTCTCCACGTACTCTCAATTTTAAGATACACGCACCATTCTCTACATTCACAAATTCCTTACTATGATTCACTGTCACAAGTTGTGGCAGTCGTAGTAACCGACTACCTTATTCGGAACATTCGACACGTGCGTCCACAATTGACCAATCTGATAAAAGGAACGTCATCGGGATTTCCCCTTGATTACTAACGATTGGATTGATGTTTTGGAGCATTACTAAAATTCGTGTTTAAAACTATCGTCTTTCAGACGAAGTTTCAAATTAAACTTTTGCCAGTAAACACGAAAATGACCTCTAATTTCGTCTAAAATGTCTCCTAACGGAGATCAGCCCGCTCTCGCGTGCTTCTCTATATATATGACGCGCTGCGCGCGTCACTTACTGCCGAGCTATAGAGAATACATTTCTACTTCCGGGTCTGGGGACCCGTAAACTGCAGGTGTCCCCATTTTTTTACAAAAGACAAGCAAAACAAAACAAAAGCAAGAAAAAGAAACACAAACCAAAATAGCAACAACAAAAAAATAATAAAAGCAAACAAAAAACAAAAACAAAATAACAAAACAACAACAACAACAAAATCACCAAGCTCTCATTAACATCTTTGAGTGGCATTTTAGACGTTGGGAAGAACAATATTGAACATATTTTATGGATAACAATGAAGAGCACGAATAAAAGAAGTTGTTATCCATAAAGTTTGTTCAAAATCAAAACTCTCATTCATTGCTCCAATGAAAATTCTCAAAAAGACATTCTCAAAATTCAGTTGCCACAAGAAATAATTGTAAAGTTGCCTAATAAACATTTTGGTCCGAGACATTCAAGCTGATTCCCCAAAGCATACTAATATCAGTACTTTTTTGTTGTATTTGTTGTAATTCCGTTGTATTCCTAAATTCATTTCCTGGTCCACCAAACAAAGGTGTTGGGCAAATCTGGAATCATTCTGCATGATTATAAAACTGAGGGTTTAAGAATTGCGGAAACACTTTAAAAATCCATATATATATTTAACAGATTCCAACTTTTAGGTTTAGAAAATCGCTTTGTGGAGCTTAAATATTACCGTCTGAATAGTAAACGAGTCCGTGATCGACCTCAGGCTTCAGTCTTAATATGGTGACACGGTCAGGCTTGATTAAAGAATGAGGAAAACCAGAAATGAACATGTCGATCTTTGCTGACCAATCAGACCCAATATTAACTTGAAGTCAACGATATAAGGAACATGTTCGTAGTTCAACCTGGAAGTTTAGATAGGTTTCACAAAAGTACGACTCTATAGAAAACCTAAACCGATTACGAACAGCTCTATGCTTGTCAGGTATGCTAGATCCTATATCGAATCTCAACTTTGTACGGAAGAGGTTTCATGTTCAACCCAAATTTACAACCCATTGTGTACTCTTTCACATCTTTAGGTTTGACAAAGGTACATCTTTGTAGGAAACCTGAAATGATTAAGAAGAGCTCTATCCTTGCTAGGAATTCCCCCAAGCATTTTCGACGTCCTGCTGAGAACGGAAGGTACGTGTCCAGGAGACGAGTGTCGATCTGACCATCCTCCTTCAGGAAACGCTCTGGTCGGAATACATCAGGGTCCCCCCAGACCTCCGGATCATGACTCAGTGAAAATAGATTGAGAAACACAAGAGTATCCTTCTTGATGGTGTAACCAGCCAGTTCGACATCCTCAGTCGTTGCGTGGGGTAGAGAGAGTGGTGTGAGGTTGATGATTCTTAGAATTTCATGAACGGTTGCTTCGGTGTACGTCATGTTACGTCTATCAGCCAATGTTGGGTGTCTGGACATACCTACGACATTGTCAATTTCCTCCTGTATTTTCTTTTGGACTCGTGGCGTCTTTGCAAGTAGAAGGATTGTCCACATAGTCGTAGTAGCCACTGTATCGAACCCAGCAGCAAACAGATCTCCGATCGTGTCCTGAAGCCGTTCTTCACTCATACCATTTGCCTTGTCTGTTTCTGTTATCCGTTTAGACTCTTTAATTAGACTGTCTGTGACATCCCGGAGATAGTCAGCGGAGAATGTTTCCAGGTGATCCTGAATTCTCTTTCTACGGATGAGATGTCCCCTCGATAGAAGATCTTTGAACTCGTTCACCCTCTTCGTCATAAAGTGCCTAAGCCATGGGAAAATATCAACTGGATTCCCAGCAGTAACAAATGTAGAAAAGTCTTGAGTGTGTAGAATGTACTCGCAGAAGTCCTTGTCTGCTCTGACGTTGCCTTTCCTTCCGTAACATATCTGATATATCACACTGCCCATTGCAATGTAAATATGATCGTTTGGGTCAAAGGCCTGGCCGTTGTAGCCATTGAACTCCTTCAAAATATTACTGACCTCCTCGCATATAATTTCCTCAACCGGATTCTTTCTTGCATTAGCGAACGCTTGGAAGGATTTATGTGCTATACGCCTATGCAGTTTCCAGGACATGTCGAATTTTCCAAACGATAAACTTTTGCCATTTTGAACGGAAACTGACGAGAAGAACTGTGGTCGACCAGAAAAAGCATCACCCTTGGTACAAAGTGCCTCCTTGATGAGCTTCCCATGAATCACTACTGTTGGCCATGCTCCAAACTGTAATTTGATGAGATCTCCATAGATCTTTCTCATCTTCATAAAAGTCTGATATGGTGTTTTACCGAGAAAAGGCAGATGGCCTACAATAGGTAGTCCCCAGGGACCAGGGGGAGATTTGGTCCCATACATTAACCTGTGTAGAAATGTCAGTATTGACGCTGATGCCAAGAAGACAACTCCTGCTTTCCCGAGGGTGGTTGTGTCTTGAACATACTTGTAAATGTCCTGCCAGTACATCTGAAGAGCCGCCACAGTTGACATCCTGAAACTAGACACAGATTTTATAAATGATGTGTTTATCGTTTAACGTCAGAGATTCTGCAGTTCTTTAAATAATAAAGCCTAGGCATGGCGAAACTGATTGTTATTGGGATCAAAAACACACTGACTGTCAGTTATGATGACGAAATCATTGTATGGTTAATCAAGTCATGAGCCTTCCTGTTGTGCAGGACGCAGTGAGAACAGGTATCGGACAGGCCCCAGTCACCACAGGAAAGCATAAACATTCCTTTTACACTTGACATGACCTAAAAAGCCGTAATTTAACTAATATCTTCTGGGAGTGAGTGAGGTTAGTTTTAATAATCGAGTCTGGACCAGACAATCCAGTGATCATTAACATGAGCATCGATCTACGCAATTGGGAACCGATGACATGTGTCAACCAGACCAATTTTCTAACCCGGACCTTCCCGGGTACAATAGCTTCTGGACACTTTAAGGACGGCGAGCGTGTACTGGTTGCCCCACCTAGTTTCAGTCAAAGGCCCAAAACTATCAATGGTGACCCCGCTGAAAGGCTCCTGTAAGGCTGGAACGTATTTTAAAGGTGCAGCTAGAATATTTTGATTAAATTTTCCATTCATCTGACATAAGTGGAAGGTTTTGCAAACATCAGTCACATCATGGTGCAAATTAATCGAAAGGAAATGTCACAGAATGTTATCACCCTAGTTTGGTCAAATAAGTACACATTGGCCCAGTGTCCGATCTATGTAATAGTAGTCAGGTAAATTATGCATCTTATATGCATTTCCTGGCATTACTGAATTGCAAGAGTGTTACGGGTGAAGTGGTTGTAGGAGTCTCGTACGTGTTACCAATCTAAGAAGTTGATGTGTTGCTTTGTAACGACGTGACAGATGCGTGTTGTCATGTTGGCTGCTCTCCTGTGTTGCAGGTACAGATATTACCATTAGATACTTGATGAGTGATGTTAGACATTACGGTAGAGTTTTTCCCATTCCCACTACTAGGTCATTTTCTAAGGTCAGGCATTTTGATGCGCTATCCGACACAGATGTGTCAGCTGTTTGACGAGGCGGACTGTTATAGAGGTGTTATAGAGGTGACGTGGAGTCATTGTGCAGTGCTCAGAAGTCAGTTGAGTCTTTGAAGCCGACTGAGTGAGTGAGTATGGATTTACGCTGCTTTTAGCAATATTCCAGCAATATCCCGGCGGGGGACACCAGAAATGGGTCTTACACATTGTACCCATGAGGGGAATCGAACCCGGGTCTTCGCCATGACGAGCGAACGCTTTAACCACTAGGCTAAACCACCGCCCCCTTTGAAGCATTTAAAGTATGATGTTTTGTCAGAAACTCTGGACTGTGAAGAATTTCACATGGATATACTTTCGAGACGTTGGTCTTAGAAAACGTTAGTGCGGAAGTTCTGGTACCAAGGAAGTGCTGGAGTCAGATTCTGATAGTGAGTTATATTTGCTGTTAATCTCGGTAGAACTAAGTCAAGTGATATTGTGTAAGTTCTGATTTGTCTGGGCGGGGATATACAAGGATGTACTGGATTACTTTTGTTCTTGTCGTGTGTGTCAGGTATCGGGAAAGTTGAATCTCCTGGTCACCACAGAAAATATTGCCAACTGGGGGCGAGATGTTCTCCAAGTCATTATTCACGTGCTTGGTCTGTTACCTGTCAGGTATGTTCAAAGATGTATATGATTACTGTAGTTCGTTTCATCTGTGTCAGGTATCAGGAACGCCCAATCAGTTGAATTCCCTAGCCCCACAGAAAACAGTGCCAACTGTGGGCGAGATGTTCTCCAAGGTCATTATTCATGTAGATCCGTTACCGAGGCTACTCTGGGCAATGCGTTCTTGTTCATCAGTTGAATCCCCTGGCCCCATAGAAAACAGTGCCAACTGTGAGGTGTTACTTAGGTTATTAATCACGTGGTAGGGCCGGTATCTGAGAATACTCAGGGCAATAAGTTCTTTTTGACGGTAAAATGCGTTAATACTGGGTCTCCCGAGGCCACCCCGATAAGTGTTTGTTGTGATAAAGTTTCTCATGAAGAACTTCACGGTGCCAGGACTACCCAATGAAGTACATTCTGATCAGGGGTCGAATTTCATGTCTAGACTATTTCCAGTGATTGGTTGTGATGATGATGGTGCGTGAGTGAGTGAGTTTGGTTTTACGCCGCTTTAGCAATATTCCAGTAACATCACAGCGGGGGGCACCAGAAAAGAGTTTCACATATTGTACCCATGTGAGGAATCGAACCCGGGTCTTCGGTTAGGCCTAGTATTTTCTACCCTGAGTCTCAAATACCTTTATAACATCTTCATCAGAGTCTGAAAAGTTAGCTACGGTGATTTCGTTTGGAGCACGAGAGAGACTGGAACGTTGGAACCCGTGATGTCCACTGCCAGCGATGCTAAGCAGCAATCGCTGGGTTTTTGTCCTCGTTGAGTTCGTCTGTAGTCACACTACGACGTTTGCAAGGGACAAGTGGTTAAACGATAATCCGTCTGAGAATTTGCTAGGCTATGTAGCTCTTTAGACTAAAAAGAATATCCTTTTCATACAATTGGAATATTGGAATATCTATATTGTGTGAAAATATAGAACATCTATACACTCGCGTTACCTTGATTCGTGAAAAAAGGGAAGTGCGACGAAAATCATATTTTAAATGCACGATTTCATTTTGTATACTCACTGAATGATTATTTTATTAACTGATTCAGCCAATTAAAAATGCCTAATATTCCACTCGTGAATGAAATGTTTGTTAACCGAAACAATATGCAATCATCACCCATTCGTTTGCCCACAAAATGTGACGTCACCTTGTTTCGTGGATTACGTACCCGGTCACAATATATCACTATGTACGACAGTCAACTGCAGTAGGTATTGACACCTAGGAAAACAGACGACGATGTGAGAAGTTGGTGCTAACAGTATCTTTGTTACTTGACATTTTGTAAAAATAAAATTTGGTATTGGTGGCATTAGTGATCTTGGGCTATTTATCTCAGTGCTGGACAATTAGATTTAGTATATTTACGAGCTATGCAGAGATTCGGAACAGTTTTGTAGCATTGTGTGTACATCACAAGTACTGCTTCGAGACGTCATACGAGACTTAATTTACGAGATAGCATGACAATTACCGCGATCCACGAATCAAGTTTATCCACGAATTTAGGTTACGGTTCTGTAATTATTATCTCTATAATTTAATTCTTGGCCCGATGGACGCAAATGAGGACTTGGAGAAACAGTCCTCTCCTGTGACATTCGACAATAAATCAACACCGGCCTTTTGGGCGTGAAAATTTAATGTAAATGTGAATAGCTAGCTTAATATGAGTTTAGGAAATGCGAAAGAGTTGTTCTGTCGCTTCAAGCTTCTAGAATACAAAACAAAGGAAGACAGTTACCTAGTCACTCTTAAAATGGTTTTCGTCCCAGATGATACAGAATAGGTCATGAAATGATATATCGCATGATGTTGACAGAACATGACGTTCGGGTTTTATATGCTTACACAGCATTTAATTCGAGCCTTAGTATGTAGAAAATAGGATCTGTATGTTCAATCGTTGGTACAAATTAGCATTAGATATCAATAGACATTGCAATATATATACCTTTATCGCAACATATTGCAATACAGTTTATTTGCCCATATACAACCCTATAAGCCAAAGATACAATAGTATCCGATGTTTGCATGGGTATGGCGACTACCATTGCAGAAATTATCTGATAATTGCAGAATAATGGCTCTCAGCACAAACTGAAACATAAGTCTCATTAACCTATTCAGACAATGACCTACTTTTCGGGCGATCTGAATTTTCTCGTGTGGAAGTGAAAATAGACATCACAGACAACCATGGTTACACTAAATTACAATTCCTTGTTTCATAAAAAAATGGTATTTACAAATGAATTTTAATTTTAAACTTTAATTAACATTATACCTAAATGATTCACAATACATCTGGCGCACTGGTTACACCTGTTATGTGTTTTTTGCGCCTTTTCTGTGTCGTTCTGTAACACACAATGTGATTGATATAAAATCAATTCCGTACCAGGCGGCAAACTTTTCTAGCGGCAGAGCCTCGTTTTGAGATTTCCACGATTTCCAGGTTTCTGTTTGTCAGAGCACGCTGTACGACAGAGCACGCTGCACGACGTGTTTGCAAGGATTAGAAGGAGCGTAGTGTTGCAATATACAAGTGCTTAGATGTATCAAATAATACTGATTAATATGGATGTATCCAGTTAAATGAATTGGTATCAAAATTCCGGGCTGGTTATTGTACTAAGTTGCGCAATAGGACGGAACCAAGTCAAGAGGAAATGAGACTGTTGTGTGATCAATATTTTGACTAGCTAGACCCGTGAAGATCCGGGTTCGAATTGATCTTCAGTATCCCATGATTGTCGTAAGAGGCGACGAACGGGATCGGGCGGTCATTCTCGCTGACTTGGTTGACATTTATCTTCGTATCCAAATTGCGTAGATGGATGTTCATGGTGTTGATCACGGGATTGTCTTTTCCAGCCACGATTATTTAGAGTGCGGCGTTAAATACCATCCAAACCAAAGCAAACCTTACTTGTGTTCTTGCTCAAAAACAGTGCACATCTGTTTTCAGTGAGAGGAACAATGAATGTGTGTTTTGGCTGCGGCCACGAAGTGAGTGAGTGAGTGAGTGAGTTTAGGTTTACGTCGCACTCAGCATTATTCCAGCTATATGGCGTCGCGGTTATGAAGTGTTTGTTTTCATTGTTTTAACTGTCAGTACAACGAAGATGAACTGCCTTTCTGTTAGTGTGTCCCAAATATACATGTATTTCAATGCAGTTCTTGAAAGGCATACATGACACGTTTTATGCATAACGATTATTTTTATTCTTTATCCCGACAACGTCGTGATAAAAAATATCTGAAGTTATTTTTTTTACCATAAACCATGTTATGTATTCAG